ATTATATAATTATGAACATTTCTCAATCAGAATATACATCCCAATTTAACTATAAAAAGGTTTTTTCAACTTAAGCATTTCAATTAGTACAAGCACATCCATGTTTTATCAAAGTTATTGATTGCCTTAGCATTAAATCAAGTACTTTATGGGACAAAACCCAAAATACCATACACAAACTGATATCCTCTTCATATAAATGTCAACATACTTTGCTTAACATTATTATGGTCATATGTTACGTCTAGGTTTCATGAACGATCCAAAGAGCAAACATGTGTTGGAACAGCAATCTCAAAGTTCATTGATGGCATGTATAATTAATTACAAAAATTTTACTTGTCTATTAACCCTATAAGACGGAATTAGTATTTACCTTTGACAAGCAGAACAACACAAACAAGAATGAAAAAAATTGAATAGTAGCTCGATGAACCTCATGATCTTCTACTGTATGTCCTTCCAAGTCAAAAAGCCGATTGTAGTGTAGGTTGTAATCCTTCAAATTCTCTCACTTCTTTCTCTCTTTGACTCTTCTAAACATGAAGGTCAAGGTTATGACTGAGAANATGATCACTCTGTACTTTGATGGGAGCATTAGATTTGCCCATTATTTTTATACCCAATGATTGAAGTTATATTATCATCCCTTCCCAACAACTCTTATAGAATAAATTAAGGAATACAATATATATATGTAATAAAAAATAATAGAAAAGAATATCAACTGAAGGAGGGCTTATGTCGTTTGTAAATTTATGCTCCCTATATATTTAACATTAGTGCATGGGTAAGCTTATTTCAAAAATGAAATTAATTCAATCAAAAGGGAAGATCATAAAATATCCTTGTGGGTCCTGAATAAAAGTACAAATAAATTAGATGAAACTGTGCTAACACTCTCAATTGATAATAATCCAGTCCCCCATAATGACACAAACGCATACTTAAAGCACTACCAATGTATTTTACCCAGTAAAATTATATTTTTTAAAAGTTAACTTACTTTTTTTGGAATAACATGTTCTTGTTGATTAATAAGTTCTTATCCACCCCTTTAAAAATTACTCTTTTTTTTCAAAGCATCGATATTTTCACAAACAATTTTAATAGTATGATATTGGGTATATAAATTTCAAAACAATAGTAGTTGGACAATTAATTCGTGAATGATCATCTCTATTGTTTATTTTAGGGTATATGACCACAGCCACCAACCCATTGCCTACTGTTGGTAGTGTGGGTATGAATGGTAGATAGAAAATTATAAAAGAAAATAGCTTCAAGGCACATGTAAAGAAACGTTCTTTACATTATAAATTGTGCCCACTCATTCGAGTTTACTAATGGGTTACATACGAAGTTGTTTGCAAGAATTTATGATATGAAGAGTTGCAATTAGCAATATTGAAAAAATTCTAAAGAAATCTTCTTGAACTGTTTTTCATTCTAAAAAAGAGAAAGATGGAAGAAAAGAGATACGTTATATAAAACTCTAGTATGTTTGTAAATGAAGTCTAGAGTTCTATTTATAAATTTCTTGGTGTTTTTCTCCAAAAGTCACAACCGATCGATTACACGTCTTTTCTTAAAAATCATGACTTTTCTATGGTCACAACTTTTCAAATTATAACTTTTTGTAAAATTCACAACTACTCAAAATAATTCAATTATTCAATCAAACTATAAATAAAGTGTCAAAAATCCCCCACTTTGATTATATAATTATGAACATTTCTCAATCAGAATATACATCCCAATTTAACTATAAAAAGGTTTTTTCAACTTAAGCATTTCAATTAGTACAAACACATCCATGTTTTATCAAAGTTATTGATTGCCTTAGCATTAAATCAAGTACTTTATGGGACAAAACCCAAAATACCATACACAAACTGATATCCTCTTCATATAAATGTCAACATACTTTGCTTAACATTATTATGGTCATATGTTACGTCTAGGTTTCATGAACGATCCAAAGAGCAAACATGTGTTGGAACAGCAATCTCAAAGTTCATTGATGGCATGTATAATTAATTACAAAAATTTTACTTGTCTATTAACCCTATAAGACGGAATTAGTATTTACCTTTGACAAGCAGAACAACACAAACAAGAATGAAAAAAATTGAATAGTAGCTCGATGAACCTCATGATCTTCTACTGTATGTCCTTCCAAGTCAAAAAGCCGATTGTAGTGTAGGTTGTAATCCTTCAAATTCTCTCACTTCTTTCTCTCTTTGACTCTTCTAAACATGAAGGTCAAGGTTATGACTGAGAAACCAGAGAGTGAATTTATTTATAGACTAAGTAGAGACCATAAGGAGAAATAAAAGTCAAGCTTTCAATGGGCCTAGAAATCCTATGTCTAACTCAAAACAAACATCCTATAGTTTATTAATAATAATTTAGTCCACTAAAAACTTATTATTGATCTCCTGGATCTTATCTCAAATTTATATTTCAAGCTACTCATTATTATATGCTTAATAATCTTTCAACATTTAAGATTAGAGATGCCCGTCAATTAATTAAATTATTGACAATTATATTTAATTTACTCTTTTTTTTTTATTTTTGAGATTTTACTACTCGATTTATTTGTCATATCAAATAATTAAATTCACCTTCAAGGTTTGACTTGAAGAAAATTTTTGAACTTTCTCAAAAGGGNTAAAATTATATTTTTTAAAAGTTAACTTACTTTTTTTGGAATAACATGTTCTTGTTGATTAATAAGTTCTTATCCACCCCTTTAAAAATTACTCTTTTTTTTCAAAGCATCGATATTTTCACAAACAATTTTAATAGTATGATATTGGGTATATAAATTTCAAAACAATAGTAGTTGGACAATTAATTCGTGAATGATCATCTCTATTGTTTATTTTAGGGTATATGACCACAGCCACCAACCCATTGCCTACTGTTGGTAGTGTGGGTATGAATGGTAGATAGAAAATTATAAAAGAAAATAGCTTCAAGGCACATGTAAAGAAACGTTCTTTACATTATAAATTGTGCCCACTCATTCGAGTTTACTAATGGGTTACATACGAAGTTGTTTGCAAGAATTTATGATATGAAGAGTTGCAATTAGCAATATTGAAAAAATTCTNATAACAATCCAAAACATCAGACAACCTTCTATAGCGAAGACAAACTATGCCAGAAGATTGCGCTATAATTATACTAATGGTATGTCTAATTTTATCTAAAACTGTGAACCTTTACTTATATTATATAAAGATCTGATAATCTGATTTTCTGTGTATAAACCGAATTTTATATATCAGATTATCTATAATATAAAATAGAAGATACACATACATATTATTCATT